TAGAGCTTTCTTCCCTTTGGAAGTTTCTTTTCGAAATTTGCAAACAAACAAAAATTCCCGATCTGGCATCCTATATTCTGTTTCCTCGCAAACAGCCTGTCTTCACTCTCTGTCTGTGCGTGCTGTCCGAAGGCCCTCTGCCACCATCCGCAGAGGTGCTTTGCTGCGTTCCGTTGTTCTTGCGCGGCTGCGTGGGTGCGGAAGCCAAACAGTCCGGCAGGCGGCCCTTACTGGAGGGCAGTGCTGCAAAGCTACAATAAAGCACACATAGATATTTAGAGGCCATGGTGTGAAGACACAGGTTTCTGGCAGGGATGCCACACCAAGGTGGTTTTTGTGTTTGCGGTTTGGCAGGGCACATTGGGAGGGCCAGTGCTGTCCTGAGTGCTTTGGCGTGGCAGCGTATGTGGGCAGGCGTGCTGCAGGAAAAAAGAAGAAAAATAAAGTAAACAAAATATAGTGTGCCTGTACGGATTGGAAGGAAAAAATTAGAATGAAGAATTTATTTTTTGGAGTGTGTTGGTAGTTACAGTATAGTAGAGAAGGACAGAAGGGCAGAAGTAGAGAGCACGTGCAAGAGAAGGCAGGAAAGGAGAGTTTGGCGCAGGGAAGTATGATCTCAGGATTGGAGGCTCTGTAGAGTGTGGGTGGTTTGTTGTTGCGCGTACGGAGGCATTCTTTTCCTCTATGCTATGTAGAGAGACAGAGAGTGAGCCATATTTTTATTTTTGAGGGCGGGAAAAGAGGGAAGGAGCACACACGCGCAGAAGGAGACAGCAAGAGTGGGGCCGGGAGGGCGTGTTGGTGCGGAGTGTGCATTCAAAGTGCCAGTGCGAGAGCGTATGCACAAGGAGGTGCGAGCAAGGGCGCAGCACACAGTGTAGCCTGGAAAGAGCCTCGAAAGCATCATTCGGGCACAGTGCAGGCACAAACCGGCAGCACAGAGCATATAATCCTCGCAGGGCATGTTTCTTCTCTCTTTGCTTGGCTGGCTGCTTCTGTCTGGGCGCTTGGAGGGCGCCTCTGGCACGGCATGGCTGGCGGCCTGGGAGGTGCTTCCGTGGTGTGTGGGGAGGTTTGCTTCCTGTTCTTCTCGGCGAACGCAACACGCCGTTATCACTTTGATGCCTCACGGCAATATATAAGCACATGCGATTTTGCGGGGATGTTTGGACACACGCTTCGAACAGGTTGGAAAAGGCAGGCGCTGGCGTGGGCCGGTGTGCTGCTGGTTGTAGTGTGCTCTGCAGGCGGATGCATTATTGTGCGCAGGCAGATGGGCGCACGCGAAGAAGGTGCTTCGAAAGGGGCAGATGGAAAGGAGCAGGCGCTCTTGGGGGCGGGTGCAGAGGGGAGCCTGGATTCAAAGGCAGCCATAAAAAAGCCAGCGGAAGGCTTGAATGCAAAGAACAGGCAGGATGCAGTGCACGCAGAGGCAGAAGATGCAGCGTTGGAGATATTCATACACAAGCTAGTAAAATGCTTGATGCAAAGAACAGGCAGGATGCAGTGTCGCAGAATTTGGAGGAAAAGAGTGTTTCCGGGTTGGATGCAGCCTTAAAAGAGCCAGGAGAGGGGCTGATCGAGGCAGAAGGCCACACAGAGCAGGCGGAGGCGGAGCAAAGACAAAGCATAGTCCAGGCGAGGGAAAGGCAAGCCTGCCTCCCCGCTGCGAAGCTGGAGACAGAGGGCGCAGAAGGTGTCGCGCATGCAAGAGCTTCCGGCAAGGGGGCGGCCCTAGAAGAGCCGGCAGGAAGCTTCTGCGCAGTGCAAGCCATAGAGCAAGTGGAGGCAGCCATAAAGGAGCTTGCAGGAAGCTTGGGCGCGGAAAAGAGGCAGGAGATGGAGGCGTTGCAAGGTTGCTTTGCGAAGTTGAAAGACGAGAGAGCGCAGAATGCAGCGAAGATGGAGAAAAACAGAAAAAGAGTTTACAGGTTCGCAGCGATCGTACGAGAGCAAGAAGAGCTTTTGGGTGAAACCGATGATTACATTGAGCAGATAAAGGCGGGTGAAAAAAGAATTTCCAGGTTGGAGCGGGCCTTGAAAGAGAAAGAAGAAAGCTTTACCGAAGCAGAAGAGTACATGAAGCAGCTGGAGGCCAATAGCGCGCAGAGCACAGAGCAGCTCGATTCTGCTGAGAGAAAGCATGTAAGGCTTGTGTGCGACGTGCAAGGGCATATTGAGAGCCTGCGTGCAGCAGTGGGAGACCAGGAAAGGGCTTTGGCAGAGCTGCAAGAGGTAGAAGCGCGCTTGGAGCTAGAAAAAACACAGGCTGTGGCAGAGGAGGAAAGCAAGGAGGAGGCCTCCGTTGCAACAGAGAGCGAGGGCCTGTGCAAGAAGAAGCTGTGTCGTGAGACCTTGGTTTAAAGGCGTGGGCAGATGGATTGCAGGGAGCGTGTGCAGAGCTGGCAAGGTTTGCTTGGGAGTGAAGGCTCCAGGAGAAGAGTCCGGCTTTTCAAGCGTAAGTAAACTTCTTTCCTCTTTTCCTCTTTTTTTCTTTTTTTCTTTCCATTGTTCATTCATTCATTAATTCTTTTGTTGTTCGGAGAGATGTCTGCAGCACACTGCTGGGGTGCGTACAGAGGAGGCGCTGGTGGAGGGCACGGGCACGTTAAAGGGCGCTGCTTCGCTTTTATGGCTCTAAGAGTGTTGCGCTGGAGAGCCGGCAGCAGTGGCTGTGCCAGACGCGTTCCTGTTGGCACTCCTTCCGCCTGCTAGCGGCCTCCAGGCCAACAACAAGCTGAAGGTGGGCCGGGTGTGGTGCTTGCTGACAGCACAGCTACGGGTGGCTGGTTTCTGTTTATGCTGGCTTGGCAGAGGCCATGCAAGAGTGCGGCAAATTAAAAGCAAGAATAAGTATTTAAGAAGGCCGGGTTTATGGACAAAAGACAACTTTTCACTAGCACTTCAAGTGTTGCAACTAAGTGCCTGGCATGGGGAGATGGGCCGCGTGCGAGAGGCCGAAGGCTGAAATCCAGTCGAGAGAAGTTTTATTTTCTTTGCAGGGCCGTGGGAAGCTTCCAAATGGAAAGGCTTTTTAGAAGTGCGGTTCTTTTTGGCACAAGTTGTATAAAAGCGCCGCGCAGTGCGCATATACTGCTAAGAGCAAGCAATCAACAGAACAGTGCATAGGCGCATTTCTCTAGCCGGCGGGCCGTGTCATTTTGGCAGGTGCGCATGCGCAACAGCTAGGCCCTCCTGTTTATGGTGGACTGGAGTATGTCCATCACGCCGTCTAACACCTCTTCTCCGCTGGGCGTCTGCAGCAGGGCGCTCTGGTGCGTGCCCAGCGCCTCCAGAATCGCAGAGGCTTCTTGGCTGCTGATCTTCGGCCTGTAATCGGCGTGGGTGCCCATCTGGATCGACCTTGGCCCAAGCCTGCTGCACAGAGCAAGCACCAGCTTGGGCGGGGTTTCTTTGTGTTTCAAGCTGGCAAGGAACACGAGGAAGTCGAAGAGCGCCTTGGTGTCCAGTGCGTCCTTCCGGTCTTCCTCCTCCACGTCGAGAAGGAGTGTGCCAATTTCGTCTATGTGGCGCGTTGACTTGTCTGCAAGCAAAAGAGGGAACAAGTCAGAGATGGCGAAAAACATTGGCAAAGCGTAGCACATGAAAAGAGGCTCGCCTGCTTTATCTTTGTACTCTCTGAAGTATTTCATGATGGCGTTTGCTGCGGGCGTGCAGTTGTCTCCGGCGTAGATCCCTATTTCGATGATAGCGAATGCGTATTTATACATTATAGCAGTTGCTTTCTTTGACACGGCGATTCTTGGAAATAGCTCGCGCTGCATGCCCAGCCATACTGGGCCCTCCAGCACATCTATTTGCGTTTCATAGTCGTCCAGCGGAAGGCTGCCGAGCAGGTTCGAGAGGAGGCGCACGCCCGTGTGCTCCTGGGCGAGCTGGATGCCTTTTGCTGCTGCGCACAAGATGAAAGCCTTGGAGATTTCTTTTATCTGTTTGCTTCTCAAGGCGCTCTCGAGCAAGAAAAGCTGGTTTGGGTGCGCAGAGGCCCCGGGGGAGAGCAGTGAGGTCGTGGCCTTCTGGATGTCTTGGGCAAGCTTGTTTTCTTGCAGGTTCGTGCCCCTGGCCCTCCATGCGCCTGCGTACCCGGCAAGCAGGCACTCTACAAAGTCTGCAGGGTCTGAGTAGCCGTCCACCGCAAAGAAGGCCTCTTTTTTTTCGTCCGTAAGAGAAAGGAAGACGCACGGGCACAGGGTGACTATTAGATGCCTGGGCTTAAAGGCAAGGCATAAGCCCTGCTCTATCGCGCTGTCTTTGCCTGTGTACTTTAGCGTGATTTTTCCGTAGAGATCATTCTGCCCGTCGCTTCGGGCGCCGACCTTCAAGTCAGAAAATTCCACTCGTAAGCTCTTATCCACGGAGAGAGACGTGAAAAGCTTTTCCACGTACTCCTGTGTTTTTTCAAACACGTCTCCAGAGGTTTTGCCAATCTCGGATTCTTCTAGCATCTGCGCAAGCTTGCGTATTCTCGGCTCCTCCTTCTCTCGTCTTCCCGTCACCTCTGCGACAACGTAGAGAGCGTTGAAAATTCCGGAGCGCACCTCGTTTCGGCTGGGCCTTACATATGCGATGTGCTCGCTCTGCAGGCCAGACACGACACGGTTCCACTCCTGTATTGTGTCTTTGGTGGCGCATGCCTTTGGGGTGACACTTTCCAACTGGAAGAAGGCGCGCAGGGCCTCTGCTTCCTCGCCCTCTTTTTTCTTGCCGAGCATGGTGTCAGCTTTGTACTTTTTCTGAACTGGGTGGTGGGCAAGGCAGCAGAAGAGCGCAAATAGACCTGTCTCCACGCAGTTGCTGAATGTTTCATCCAGAAACTCTGTTTGGCCTCTCTTACAGGCATGCACGCTTGTGTACGCCGGCAGCATGCTTGGGCTGGGGAACGGAAACGACTCTAGATTCTTCATGGCTTTCTGAATCTGCGTAAACGTGTGCAGGAACTCGTCTTCCTCTGCCTCTGCCTTGCTCTCCACAAAGCACGCGTTGTATGCGTCTTTGCAGCTGTCTTCTGGCAGGCTTGTGAGGATGGCGTGCACGCACGCTGCAAAGTCCAGGGCGTCTTCCTTGCTCGTGATGTACTCAAAGACGTATGCCTGGATGAGGAACTGCGGCGTGTTTAGAAACTCTCCGGTGCTGAAGTCGTTCTGCGTGCACGGAAGCTTTTCTTTTTGCATGTTCTCTTTGAAGAAGTTTATGACCTGGGCAGCCTTTTTGCACAAGTCTTTTTTTGTTTTAAACACTGTGCTGCTTTCCTTTCCCACAGTTTTTCTGTGCTCTGGCGGCAAGTTGCCAAGAATGCTTGTTCCCAGTGTGATTGTTTTCTGCGTGGCCTTGATGGGCACGTCGACACCCTCGCTCAGCAGGAGGAGCGCGGCCAGCACGTAGTGCGCGTGCTGTTTGGTGGGCATCCCGTGCAGAAACTGGAAGAAGGAGTCATCTCGGTCGACAGCCACGGACAGAGTGTGCCCGTCTGTCGATGGAAACATCTCGATGAGGGTGCGGTGGTACTCCACAGAGTAGTTTTTGCCAGCAGGCTTGGAGCTCAAAGCGGGCCCCTCTGCAGACAGATAGGGCTTGTCCTTCTGCGCGTTTCTTGTGTATGTCTGCTCGTTTGTGGTTTCAGCATCCCCAACAGGCTCCAGCTTATAGTCAGTTTCTATCTCGGGCGAAAAGAAGCGCTTGTTGTGCATGTATGCTAGCTCGGAGTACACGAGCCCGCGCAGCAGGCAGAGCGGCCCCCTCGGGTTGATGAAGGCGTTACTGTTTCTTATTTCAGTGCTTTGCATCTCTATGATCTCATCAAACGACACTCGCGCGTGCGCGCAGTGCGCCAGCGCTGCAATTGCAAGTGCATAAAATTTTGCGTGCATGATCAGGGGTAAAAAACGGTTTTATATATGTACGTTGTAGATGCCCCCCTACCCCAGGCGGGCTGGCCTATCAGAAAAAACAAAGCAGCACAGGGACTGCATGCAACTGACCAACTGATCATCAAAATGATGTTGTGGCAACTGCCCGAGCCAGCCGGGTGCTGTTTAGAAAATGAGAAACGAATTTGTAGATGGAGGATGCGCAGGGCGGGCAGGGCATGCGAAAAAAGGGCCGTGCTTCA